CTACCTGATTTCTTGCTGTGTTGACAAAATCAACCTGCAGACACAGATAACAAAACGAAATATGTTAGCAATCATTTCTTGCCAAGACATTTTCTACTTTGGCTACCAAAATCAGCTATTAAAACCATATATCTCTGAAAAAAATGGTTCCTTTTGAATCACGCAAGAGAGTCAAAGAGACATTATATTTCATAACTAACCAGGATTATAAAATCACTTGGTAAGTACACCAATGCATGAGGGGAAAACAAAGTACCCAAACAAAAACACCACAGACATTACAGATAACTGAATCAATCAACCTGGCTCGTGTTTTGACAATATGTGGGGTTGATCCTAAAAAAAGACCATAACATTAATAACAAAAACAATAATGATAAACTTACAGCGTTTCTAAGGAGTAACAGCAACATTGCAAAAGGTGACGTAATTTACAGCTCAACCATTTCGGTTGGAACACTCATATGCATTTCTTTGCATCACATTCCTTGTTGTATTCAACACCTTTCGCCTTTCGCTTTGTCGTACCCGGAGTACAAACAGTGTTGCAGGATTTCCTGACAAACGTATCCATAAATTATACCTTTAACTTTGATCCATGATATGGCGGAAAGACATGTTATAAGGGGTATAGCAGCCAGGCCTTCAGAGGTTTACATTGGAAAGTACTGAGTATGAAACTCATGAAGAGATGTAAAATGGCAATCAAAAAGTCAAAAAAAAGTGATACATATTTATTGCATTTCGAAAGGCTTTGATGGGAATTTCTCAAGGTAAACATTTAATACTTGGATATCTATAATTTATTGCGCTACGGCCCAGCAGGCTTTTCCTAGAAATAAAACACTTGCCTGGTATTCTTTTCAACTTGTCCTGGGCGTCCAGGCCTAATATTAGTCAGACCCTGCAGTCAACAAACCTTGATGTAACATACACATACCTGTGCAAGATCATCCTTGTAAATTCCTCGCTTCAGTCTGACCCACTGTTTAGGTTTGACAGACACAACCTCTTTGACAACTTTCATTACATCAGTCATTTCTTTG